GCCCGGCGGTTTGAAGGCGTGCGCGCGTATCTCTGCGCGTCGCTCTTTGCCCTTCGCCGTGTTTGTGCTTTGATCCGCAGTGCTTTCGTGACCTCGTAAATACGGCGCGAGTCAAATAAATTTGTCTCGCGCAAAGTGGATAAGCTTGGCCGCGTAACAAATATGGATTTTTTTAACGTGGATTTGGAGATGGCGTGTCAGAAATAAATAATTAAAAGTGAATGTTTTATGTGTACAGGAAGAGAACGACGACCGAGATCTCTCCTCTTCCCCGCGTAGCCCGCATAGACCGCTGGGGCTGGCGCTGTTAGCGAGCGCCTTCAAAAGTCAAGCTTCGGAGCAACCGATAGCTGTTGTGGCTGAGACCACACCCGACCGTCTTTGTCTCCCCAGAGCCGATGTTTGGGGCGCCGCGGTGGCGAAATGTTAATTGCCTCGCCTGGCGTACAGGATGGAGTTTGCGTGTTCTCCCGGTGGTCGCGTGGGTTTTTCTCTGGGTCCTCCGTTTTTTATTCCCACCATGTTAAGCCACTTCGTTGAGAGGTTATTTGTGACCAGGTCACTTCTGAAAAAGAGCTGTGGAGCTCAGTGGGCCTTAACCCGGTAAAATAAAATTTAAAAAAAATCGTAGTAGTACTCCTCATGGCTGTTTATTTTATATTGAATCCTGGGGGGTGGGAGGCCCAGGATTGGTTCAGTTCATTGACACTGATGGTTGTTTAGCTGTGGCAAGGAATTAAATATGGGCTGTCAGGTTAATAGCGTGAGTGCACACTAACCACTTTGCTATTGCTGCCCGCACATACATACATACACACGCACGCGCTCATATATATAAAACTTAATGCAGGTCCAAACCCGAGCGATGAAAAATAATAGAGAAATCAATGGCTCAATTACACAAGATGTTGCAGAGATGCAATTAACTGTGCGCACGGACACACGGAAACTGCGAGGTTCAATTATAGTTAAATTGAGCAAATTACTAATTTTACAGCATTGCACACTGCTCGGGCACGTGTTAAATGTTGTCAAGCTCGCTATCCACCCACCCACCCACCCACCCCCAACCCCTTCGCATTGATTTATCGGGGACCAGGACCCATCGGCCGAGTTAATAACTTTCAACCGGCCAGAATTGATGGGTCGTTACACGAAAATACGAGTGAAAAAAAAAACTAACAATTATGTCGGCTAACATAAATAAGGCCAGCGTGTTCCTGTTCCGCGACGTATCTCTGAGGTTATGAATGCCGTTATAATGCTCCCTCCTGATATACAAGATAATGAGGCATCAATAAAAAAAATCGTGAACAAAAACAAATTAACGCGAATGTTTAAAGACGAAAAGCCACCGTGAGAACGTGTACACGGCGCCATCGGCTAATATATATTTTCTGCTAACAGGGACGTGAACTAGACGTGCGATCCATGTGATAACCGAGACCCATTAAAATCCCACGGTAGATCCGTTGCCATTCCCCACACATCTCCACCACCTTTATTATAATCACCAACAGATGGCTATTTATTTATTTATTGAGACTTGGCACATGAATGCGTGCAGATTTTCCTTTTATATCTAACTGCTAAACAAATTGCTGAATCCACATTGAATGGGATGAGCGTCACTCAATATCACGTTTTAATTTAAATACATTTCAACATTTTACTTTTACGGATGCACGATCTGCTCCGATTCATTTCACCGTACCTAGCCCATCCTCTTTCCCATACCACGTAACAACCCTCCGCTAACGATTTTTCTTATTTTTCTACCCGTTTATTTTTGGGTTTTAATTCTGGACGTGAGCTTTCTCATTAAACGTCACCCGACCCCATCTGCTGAAAACCCCGCGTCTCTCGGCTCTCATTTCGACGTCTTCCCCCAACCCACTCGCCTTCCCCTCCCCCTTCTCGGCCAGCCTGCCCTCCCACTGAGCCGCCTCGCTAATTCTCTGCAGCCGACCTTGCTCATCCGCTGATGGCTTATTCCGTCTCGACCGTCAGCCTGCTCAAGAGGAACGTACACTGTGTAATTATGCACGTGTGCGTGTGTGTGTGAATATATTTATTATGGGCAGCTGGAGTGTTGCGGTTAGCGCGCTGCGCTACGAACCTGGCGACCCGAATTAGATTCCCACGGTCACCACCAGTGACGATTGTAATCTGAACCGGTCCTCCCCTAGGTTGACTCAGCAGCAAATGAGTACCTGGTGCGGCGTGTAAACATTGGCACTCCGGAGACAAAGGCGGCCCGAACGTGGCGCTGGCCATCCATAGCTGCTGGCGAACAGCACTTGCCCCAACAGACTGTTAAAGACTATACAGTACGCGGGGGAACTTTGTCTTTGTATATATTGAGCAATTGTGCGGCTAATAGAATTACAGGAACAATGCCCGCGCGTTTCAGAGCGTGCGCGCGCATTTAGAAACGGTGAAAAGACTAAAGCCATTTGTCCCCGTGTCTCAGCAGAGGGTGGTGTGTGGTGGGCATCCATCCAGGCACTTTCGAGGCTTCAGGCCAAACTTAGCTTCCGAAATGTTACGAAATCGAACGCTTTCCACAGTCTCTTTCTCTCGCATAGTCACTTTAAGATGTTTTCTTGTTCATGTTTTTGTTTCTTGCGGTTGCACTTGATTCAATCCCGAAGAGGAAAATGTAGCAACGGACGTTTCATAATCGGGTGCACTATTAAACACGACAGACATGCACCGAGGGTGATGCAATTTCCTTCGTTGCTAAGCTCAACGCGAACAATTATTCACGTTGCACAATGCCATCTGTTAAAAAAAAACTGTACAAAGACAAAGTCCCGCCCACTTTTGTATCCCCGGTTGCTAACCAAATCTACCCGAGGGAAGATGAGGCCAAGCACCAATTCAGATATCGCTCGCTAACAGCTCTGTCCGGGAATCGAGCTTAGGTCGTCGGGTTCATTGCGCTAAGCATTGAGACGCCGCTGACACGCGCACGTGAACCCCTCCACGTGCAAACGCGCGCACACAAAGACAAAGATCACCCGTATAGCCTTAACAGACTTTTGGGGCAAGTGTTGTTAGCGAGCACCTATAAACTCCGGCAGGGCACAACGAAGGAGTGGGTGGCCAGCACCACGCCCGACCGTCTAGTGACGACGCTAACACACCGCACCAGTTGCCGATTTGAGGACTGAGTCGACACAGAGGAGGCCCAGGACCGGTTCAGATATCGGCCACTGATACTGGTCGTGTGCAGGAATCGAACTCGGTTCCTCCGGGTTCAGAGCACAGCGCGCTAACCGCTGCGCTACCGCTCACCACACTTGCACACACACACACACAACAATGCACATGTACACACGCGCACAAACACAACAACCGCCATTCGCCACTAAGTGGCGGTGACGTCATCACGACGCTTGTGCCAGGCCATGTGCACCTTGAGGCCACGTGAAGTGTCGAACGCCCGCTGGCAGGAGGTCACGCACGCACACACACACACGCACCACACAGAGACGCACAACGATCCGCCCGTTTCGCCATCCACACACCCTGAGCGCACGCGCCCTTCAAGTCACGGCGATTTGCTGCTCAATTGAGCGATTGTGACAGCGCTCCTTTCCCGCTGGCAGTCCCGAGCCAGCAGTGGACATTCCGCATTCCTATGACGGGGGCGAGTTTACCCGCAAGACCAAAACCACCGTTGACCTCTCGACAAAGTGGTACTCTTTTCGATGTAAAGCTTTCGTGACTGCAGGGATTCATCTTCTTGGTTCTTTCGGTAAAGTCACGTAGAAGGGAAATAATAAAATAATAAAAATAAAACATAATAAAATAATTCTGTTTTATTTTTATTATTTTATTATTTCCCTTCTACGTGACTTTACCGAAAGAACCAAGAAGAAAAAGTGGTACTCATTTAACCCACCATGGGATGGATGATGGACTGAGTCAACCAGCCCCCCCAACCCATCCCCCGCCTCCCACCTACCATCCCAGCCAGGTAATTGAGCTCCCAACCTTGCGATCGCGAACTGCTCACTCGACCACTGAGCCACTCGGCCAGATCGCCAGGCCCGTTTGCTGTGAGTGAGCAAACATTCAGGTCGGCTTGTCACACCACGGGTGGGGGAGGGGAGGGGTGGTGGTTTGGCCAGCGCCACACCCAACCCACATTCGCGGTCACGTTCACAAAGACAAAGATCCCCCGTATAGACTTAACAGACTGTAGGGGCAAGTGCTGATAGCGAGCGCATATGAAGGCCGGAACGGTACACGAAGGGGTGGGTGGCCCGCACCACACCCGACCGCCTTTGTCTCTCCAGTGGCGATGTTTACACACCGCACCGGGTAGTCATTTGAGGCCGAGTCAACCTAGGGGAGGCTCAAGGCAAGCTTCATATACCACCTCGCCTCTGACGTTGCCCAGGGTCGGGAATCGAACTCAACGGGTTCGAGATGAGAGCGCGGCTTCAAAGCCCACGGCTGATTGCGCCACCGCTCCATTCACCGCGAAGTGGCGGCGATGTTACGGCAGCCGTTGTGACAGGCGAGGTGCACTCCGAGGCCACTTGAGGTCAGAGGTCGCAACCGGGTACCCGATACCCTGGTGCGGCCGGGTACGGGTAGGCCGTGAGTCTCTGGTGAGTAACCGTTTGTCACTCTTTCGATTTAAAGCTTTCGTGACTGCAGAGATTCATCTTCTTGGTTCTTTCGGTAAAGTCACGTAGAAGGAAAATAATAAAATAATAAAAATAAAACATAATAATTCTCACGACGTTTCGGCTGCTTGCGTTGTAGCCGAAACGTCGTGAGAATTATTTTATTATGTTTTATTTTTTTATTTGATTATTTTCCTTCTACGTGACTTTACCGAAAGAACCAAGAAGACGTTTGTCACTCAGGGTACGGGTAGGGTACGGGTACCCATTTGCGACCCTGGTGCGGCCGGGTACGGGTACGGGTAAGTAATCAAAACCCGTTTGCGACCTCTGCTTGAGGTGTGTCCAAAGCAGAGGTGTGGACTCGAGTCATGTGACTTGGACTCGAGTCAGACTCGAGTCATGAATTTGATGACTTCAGACTCGACTTGGACTTGCATAACAATGACTTTGTCCCACCTCTGGTCCAAAGCGCACTGGCAGGAGAGCACGGGACGGACCCAGGTGGACGGAGGTGACCGGTAGACCAAGGTACAACAAAACGAAAGGGGAGAGAGAAGCGAAGCAAGCCCCGCGCATGCACGCATGGGTCTCAGTGTAAATTTCGTTTTTCAATTGTAGGGGCAAGAGTTCTGTTAGCGAGCTACTATCAAGGCCTGCACGTCACAGACAGGGGCGGTGTGGCGAGACACCATTGCTTCCTCTGCCTATTGTCTCCGCAGTGCTGTCGTTTTACACACGGCTCTGAAGTCATTTACGTGCTCATTTGAGGCCGAGTCGACCTAGGGGAGGCCCCAGGACAAGTTCCGATTATCCGCCACACCGATGTCAGTCGTGTCCTGGAAACGAACTGAGATCGCCAGGTTCGTAGCGCCACAGACGCGCACACACAGACACGCACACACACGCACACACGCGCACACACACACACGCACACACACACGGACACGCACACACGCGCACACACACGCATACACACACACACGCACACACACACACGCACACACACACGCATACACACACGCACACACACACGTGCACACGCAAGCACGCACACATGCAGCAGCAACGACAACAACAACCGCCACTCACCACTAAGTGGGCGGTGACGTCACCACGACGCGCGTGACACTCTAGGTGCACGCGCGCACCCACGCACGCGTTTCAGAGTCGGAATATCGATGTGTACTGGAGGAATCCGATGAGATGCGAATCTCTCTCTCTTGTTTCTCTCTCTCTCTCAACAGACGTCCACTAGTTTGCTCGTAGCATCGACGTGTAGCCGAGGATCATTGCACCGACATCCATCAAAATCAGCCGCTGGCGACCTTCACGCACCGAATCGCTGCCGCCCGTTGGGGGCCGACGAGAGGCACCCCGCTCTGCGGTGAATGTGCCCCCCGCGCGCCTGCGCTGCTCCCCCACCACGGAGAGCAACACGGGGGGGTGGCACGCGCGCTAACCGCTACACTCCGGCTCCCCCCCCCCGACTGTGCCACGTACAAAGGCAAAGATACCCCGTGTAGCCTTAACAGATTGTAGGGGCAAGTGCTGTTAGCGAGCAGCACCTATAAAGGCCGACACGGCGCACGCGACAGTGGGTGGCCAGTACCACGCCCGGCCGCCTTTGTCTCCCCAGTGGCGATGTTTACACATCACACCAGGTACTCATTTGAGGTTGAGTCGACCTAGGGGAGACCCTGGACCGGTTCAGACAATCGTCACCGGTGTTGGCTGTGAGACGGGAATCGAACCCGGATCGCCAGGTTCGTAGCGCAGCGTAGTGCTAACCGCTACACTACCGCTCCCCACACAGACACACACACGAGACAAAGACCCCCTTCCCTAGGTCGACTCAGCCTCAAATGAGTACCTGGTGTGATGTGTAAACATCGCCACTGGGGAGACAAAGGCGGCCGGGCGTGGTGCTGGTCACCCACCCCCTCTTGTGCCGTGCCGGCCTTCATAGGCGCCACTCGCTCACAGCACTTGCCCAAAAAGTCTGTGAAGGCTATACAAGGGGGGAATTGTGTCTTTGTTGTACGTGCACACGCGTTGCTTAAGGGCACCGAGCCTGGCATAAGCGTCGTGATGGTGCCGTCAATGCCACTTAGTGGCCAATGTCGGCTATTGCTACTGCTGCTGTTGTGTTTGCACGATTCACGGAGCGGTGATGTGTGAGGGTGGATGGCTCTTATTCGACTCGCCAACAGCACTTGCCCCAACAGTTTGTTAAGTTTCTACGGGGATCTTTGTCATTGTTATTCTACTGAGGTGGGGGGCAGGGGGTAGGGCAGGGGCAAGGGTTGGGGGGGAGGTCAAGGGTAAGGACCCACAACCTACAGATGCTCTGCTCCACAAAGCGAATTGCTCGCCGGTGGAAGCAAATCCTTAATCTCGCTTAATCTATAATCCAAACGCACGCGTTGTTTCATTAATTTGGAGGATTCGGTAAAGGGGAAGCGAAAAAAAATCAATTAAACAAATTGATCATGACCTTAACTTTAAATTTAATATGCATGCAATTATAACTGTGGTATCATGCGTTCCTATATCTGGCCGCTTGCTTTACAGATTATATGTTATGCTTAATTAAGGATGCTAAGGGTGCAGTTAAGCGCAAGCCTTGCGCCGTGCCGCGTAAATCTCGCCACCGAAGTGGAAGAAACGACGAGAAGCACCAGAGTCGAACGAACACTCAACAAATCCCCAACAATAAAAAAATTAATAAATAGGTTTTAACCATTTCTGGCAATAAAAGGCGGTGTTAAGATGTTCAAACACCAAATAGAAACCTTTTGCAAGGAATCATGTCTGCATTGACCACGCCTACTTGCGGCGAACATGTAAACCAACATGCTCTGACAATAAATGGCATTGTCTTTGAAACCGATTGGCCTACACTAGAGACGGCAGCCTTCTTTAGGGCCCAGTCTCACCACCACCAGTGTCAGAGCAGAGAACACCAAAAGGCGAACAGTACAAGGACAATGCACTCGCAGTGTTCATTTGAAGCTCGGGGTGAGCAGCAAAAAAAAAATGGGACCTTTTTGCCAGGTATCAAAGTATGAAAAAATAATAAATAGGTTTTACCCGTTCTGGAAATAATCCACAAACACTCGCCGCGGTTTTCTCGAGGAAAAGAACGGAGACAACTATCTCAAGTCAGGTGAGGTCAGGTGAGGCCAGGTGAGGTCAGGTGAGGTCAGGTGAGGTCAGGTGAGGCCAGGTGAGGGAGACTACACGACGGATGGATGGTGACCAGTTCGCAAAAGGACGGCGATGGAGGGAATGCACGATGGTGCTCGGCGGAAGACGAAGACCTCGGATCTTTTCCAAGCATCAAATGCCAAACTGTGAACTCGATGGAAAGCGACTCGGTTGAAAGACGCAGGCAGCGACGGACAGAGTGGAAGTAGGTGAGACGCTGGCAAGGAGATATCGGCGGAGGAAATGGTCACGGCTTGGCATGCAATGTGTGTATGTTGAACTTCTTTCGCACCGTGTATTGCCAACCGTGATAATCGGATCGTGCGGTGGAAGGACGTCAAAATAAACACAAATCAGTTCTAAAGAAATGGGTTTTCAATTGAGGAGATTTCAAAGTGCATAGCTCCAGTGGCGTTCTAATGTTAGAAGGAGGAACGTTCCAGACGGCCACAGAAGTGCATCTGGTGACCGCCTTCCTTCGACGGCCAGCCAAAAGCTGGTGCTGCGAGTATCACCAGAGTCTGCGTGATGGTTAATGTTTCTTTAGTTCAGCAAAGGTGTTGGGTGTTGATATGTGGAAAACACTTTATACTGACTTGAGAGGCTGTGACCAAAAGAGCTTCTTGGATATACGTCGACCTCGTCACATCTCGGAAAGCCAAGCGCGGTCTCGACGCAACGGCGAGACGAGGCGACATCTGACTTGGTGGCTGCATCGTCTGGCGAGACATGCACTCATCCGGGCTGTTCCTTCGAGGAAGCGCGAGAAAGACTCTAAGCCGTGGACAAGAACTGTCAGTACTCTCTGGTTCTTTCGGTAAAGTCACGTAGATAGAAGAAAAAATAATAACAGAAAACACGACGTTTCGGGCGCAACACAAGTGTCCGTCTTCAGGACGCTTGTGTTGCGACGCCGTGTTTTCTTTTAACACATTGTCCTGCGGAGGGAGCTGGTAGGAACGTTGGGTTGCTCGGTCAATGGCCAGGGTCAACGGCGGCGTGGTGTATTCCGCAAATATGCCCGATTGTGAGGGCGGGCACAAGCCGGCGTGAGTAGGTTAAATGTTGAGTTTTATAAGGGCACCACGGGGTGACCAGCCCCTCCCCACCCAGCCCCACCCCCCACCCAGCCCCACCCTCCCCACCCAGCCCCTCCCCACCCAGCCTCTCCCCACCCACCCTACCCACCCAGCCCCTCCCCCCCTCCCCACCCTCCCCACCCAGCCCCTCCCCACCCTCCCCGCCCCACCCAGCCCCTCCTTCCCCACCCAACCCCTCCCCACCCTCCCCACCCAGCCCCTCCCCACCCTCCCCTCCCCACCCAGCCCCTCCTTCCCCACCCAGCCCCTCCCCACCCTCCCCACCCAGCCCCTCCCCACCCTCCCCTCCCCACCCAGCCCCTCCTTCCCCACCCAGCCCCTCCCTGCACGACGGACGGACACAATAATCCCCTGTGGGCTGGTGGAACCAGGAGGTTCCTACCAGTATTTATTTTTTCTATCTACGTGACTTTACCGTAAGAACCAAAGAGGTATGGCTCCCTGCAGTCACGAAAGCTTCAAATCAAGAGAGAAGTGTCAGCTTCGCTTAGGCGCGCTCATGATGTAGCGGAGCGAGTTTGGACGAACGATAGAACGCAATTTTTTTTTTAGTTTAAATACTGTAAATACGTTCATAAATAAATAAGTGATTTAATGCGGAGCGTGAAATATGTGCCGGAGACACTCTAGGAAAAATTTGGCGCGCATTAATATTAATGGAAGGATAGAAATGTATCTTGCAACAACTCATTTATTATTTATGGTGAGGCGCATTTCAGACGATTCCGTCATCGCGGGGCCACAGAAAGGATGGGGGGGGGGGTAAGAGCTCCATGTTATTAATAGTGCGTTTAAACATTAAATTGGCGTCTCCACAAGCCCCGGTATCTGGCGCGCGTGTCTGGGGCAGAGAAAGGCATGCACGTGTTGGAACGCACGGAATCCTGGCTGGCTGAATCATGCACGCACGGGCCTTGTGTAAATGTTCATGTTGCGCGCCGTGGTTACGTTGAAAAAAGATAACAACAACAACTAAACCGCCGTGAGCGTGCATGGAAACGGTCTCAGGGTGAGCGAGTGGCTTAGACGGATGATTCCAAGTCCAAAGTGCTACCCTAAACCATCACGCAAACTCCGCTCATCCTCGCAGTAGCGGATTTTGGCTGCTAGCCATCGAACAAAGCCGGTCACCGCATCGCGCGCTTTCAGATGCGCTCCTGTAGCCGTCTGGAATGCTCTTCCATTCGCTATTAGGAAGCCACTCACTGGAGCTATGCAATTCTATATCTAGATTGAAAATGAATGTCTTTCAAAAGTTTGTTGTCCTTTCCCCGAACCTCCGATTAGCACGGTTGGCTACGTACGGTGTCAAAGAAGTTCATACACAAACGAGTCCTGGCTGGCTGAATCATGCATGCAGAGAGAGATAGGGCTTGTGTAAATATTCATGTTTCGCGCTGTGGCTAAGTAAAAAAAAACCCCACCGCCATCGTGCAATAGTGATCACGCGTGGATACTGTGTCAGGGCGAGCGAAGGGCTTTTAGACGGGTGACGTAATCAAACCCTCGCTGGCTATCTCCACTCGAACGCTATTTAATATTTTCACGGCTGTTTCTCCTCTCGTACCGTTTCGCTCCGGTGAAAATGAAAAGAATACATTTTTCACACACCTGCTTTGTCGAATCTGGATTTCCAAACAAAGTGCTTATAGGCTTGGCGTGTAGCCAGCTATAATGAGACATTTCCATCTCTCGCGCGCGCTCTCTCTCTCTCTCTCCTCCATGCGCGCACGTGATATTCTCACACCCATGAAGAATTAATCTATTATTTATTCCTGCATATTATTATTATTGTATTGTTACTAAAAGGCTGACAGAGTTTTGACACAAGCTGGCTGATACACAAGGCTTGCGAATCTATAAGCAGGTCCATTCAACACGCATCGCGATAATGCATTCGCTGGTGGCTGCTTACCAGGGTTTAATCTGCCACTGAATATTTCCTGCGTTGCTGCGAGGCTAAAATAGGCCCGTATGGCAATCCGTCCACTGGCTAAATGCCAGTGGCGAGGGCTGCTATCCAGCGGAGAGGGCTTCGGGAGAAAGTTTGTGCTGTTTATTGCTATTGCTGTGTCGAACGAGCGCAGGATTCAGTGGTTTACGATACGGTCCATAGCTCGGCTTGCATTGCCTCCAGTCGCACTACTGCGGCTCGTGTCTTTAATTTCCCCTTCGTCCATGAGACGTGCGCATGGTCCTTTGAACAGGAAAGCGCGTGACAAGCTTACCGCATTCACTGCGGGGGTTTATGTTTATTGCGGCGGT